CTGACTGACATGGAGAATGGTGAGGCAGGCAGGAGCAAGAGGTTGGAGGAGTTGGATGGGAGCAGAGGAGGAAGGAGACAGGAGCTAGGGTGGAATGGTGGATAGGAGCAGAAGGGAAGGGGAGCAAGAGCTTGGGGGGGGGTGGATAAGATCAGATGGGGGTAGAAGCCATGGGGTGAGGATGGATAGAAGAGGAGAAGGACAGGAGTTGGGGCATGATGGGGTAGATGGAAGCAGAGGGGGAGGGTTGCAGGAACTGGGGGTGATGTGGTGGATAGGAGCAGGGAGGAAGGAACTAGTGAGTGGATAGAAGGACGGGACTGGAGCCAGGAGGCCGGGGTAGAATATGAGCAGAGGAGGTGGATAGAAAGAGAAGGGAAGGGGACAGGAGTTGGATCGGGGACAGACAGGAGAAAAGGGGGGGGGAACAGAAGCTTGAGGAGGACTAGACAGAAGTGTCTATAACAACTATAGCACACTCCCCTCCAGAACCTGGAATTGAATGTAGGACTCTTGAATCTTTACAATCCTTTGCTGACAGCAAATATTGGCAAAACACACTAGCACAGTGTATGCCTCAACCGCCTCAAGTGCCTAGTCCACACATAGGATAACAACCTACCATTGCTACCATTTAAAATGACCAGTTATGTTGTATTGTGGTAACAAAAAACACCAGCTTTCTGATTCAATGGCACTGGTGCATGTATGTGTGCAGCTTTCTTTCTTCCTCATAGATAACTATTTAAATATGATTTGCCCTATTCTGTTCACTTCCTCTGAAGTATCTGGCACCTGCCACTGTTGGAAGACAGGCTACTGGGCTAGATAGACCAGACCATGATCTAACCCAGTATGGCCATTCTTATGGTTTTATGAACACTTATCACGATTAGAGGTTTGTTTATTTTTATAATTCCAGCAGGAGGGCAGAGTCAGAGACTCTATAGTCACTGGCAGAACTAGTCGCTGTGGTGTTGCAATCTGTGTTCTTGCTGCTTCTCCCCATTTAATTGTTTCTAGGAGCTCGAACCCAGGGATTAGTCTCCTGCATATTTAGCTATTTCTTTTTAATTTAACTAAACGAAACTAACCACTTAAAATTGACTAACCACGGGACAATTCACCTTTCTGCTAGCTTCATTGTCTCCTTCCAGAAGTACTGATTTACCCACATCTCCAACAGAGGTCAGCAGAGCCCCATTGGAGAGATTTATTCACTGTATTCATACTTTATTATTGCAAAGATTCCCTTCATATGCATCTGAAAGCACACCACATACAAAAGGCCATCACCAAAGCACACATTTGCCTCTCATTACTGGTTTCTAAAAAGCTAAGCAGTTTCTTGTGAGTCTTCTCGCTTGTGAGTCTTCATATGCCGAAGGCAGATCTGATCCCTGCTTATCTAATCTATCCATTGACCTGACCTGTTCCGTTATTGACATGGTTTTGCGCCACTTTCCCCTTGTTCTGGCAGCTTGAGAGGCAAATCAGGAATGAAAGAAACGTAGATTCTGCTATCGTTACTCAAGTGAATATTTCCCTTAACTTCCACAGGTCTATTCCTGCGCGTAAGGAGTCCTTCTGGGGGGAGGAGGAAGGGTTGCAGAATAAGGCCCCGACTAAGTAAAAAGTCAAGGACCCCATTCCAGTTGAAGAGAGGCAGAAGAAACTGACACGTTATTACCGGGGGCCCAGAGAGAGACACATGTAGATCACCCGTATGAGGAATTTCCCCCCAGCCTTCTGATTTGCACTCTGTAAGGCTCTTCATTAATAGTAATGCAAATTAATATTTAAAGTCAGGTAATTTATTCCGGCATCAAAAGAAGAAATGCAGGAAAAGGCTTCTCCGGCATTAACTCTAACTGCTGACTTGCTTCCAATTTCTCTGTTGTGTGTTTTTCTTTTCTCTCTCTCCCCCCCCCTCACTTATACAGTAGTG